CACCTCCACAATGAAGGCGATGGGACTCTATAGTGACTGCAAAGCCACATTTGAGGGCATGGGCCTTGGAGCTTTCATGGAAATGCCACTCCCATCTTACCAACAGCTTACTTACCAATTTCTCTCACACTCAAGGTGGTCTGGTATGAAGACAGTGAACTCTCTAATGGTGATGGATGGATTTCTTTTCGGATTGGCAAAGAAAAGTTCTCCCCAACATTCACGACGATCGCCAAGGCTCTAGATCTGAAGTCCCGCCCCACCAAGCTGAGCAGGTTCGAAATCCCCAGTAAGCAGCACTTCATGCTGTGGGGCATTATTGGGGCTGGGCAATACACTCCTGGAATATCAAAGAACCAGCACCTGAGGCATCCAGCTGTGAGATATGTCCACAAGGCACTTGCGGATACACTCTTTTCAAGGGAGGAGACAACATATTTCACAGGAAGGGAGACAGATCTGATATACCAAGGACTGTATGATCTTTTGGGAGGCGACGAATATGGAGAACCTCTCCAAGCACCGAAAAGCTATCCCTGCTATGTATCTATGCTGATGGAACAGATCTGTTCCTACCAGAGCTAGGTTTTAAGTAAGACAAAGAAGGAGAGCAGCCCTCAAGTGCACATTGGGGGAGTTGTGACAGCGGTTCTACAAGCTAGTGGAGTAGACCTTGAGAGACATGAAGATGATGCGCTTGAGCCACTATGGATTGACATCGATTATATCAAGAGGAGCCACTACCTTGAAAGAATCATTGGTGGAAAGCATGTATACAACTTCATCACAGGCTTTGACACACCAACAAAAGTCCTCCTCCCCAATCCAAAGCTTACATCCTTCATCAGAAAAAGCAACATCAGCTTCAACCCAAGCACTGAGGAGCTCTACACAGGCGGCCCTATTCCTAGAGAAGGAGAAGAAGACAGTGAAGAAGAAGAGCACACTGAAGAGATTGGAGAAGAAGAAGAAGAAGATCACCAATGGAATGCTACTGCTGGCGCTGAAGGTCAAGGAGGAACCTATGTAGAAGATGAGCTTGAAGAAGAAGAAGTGTTGAGCTACAGCTCAAAGCAGTTCCACTTCCAGCCCTATGAAGCACCCAACCACGGAAGTTCTTTGAGAGCAGCTCATGAGCACATCAACACACTCCAGAAGTGGTGCAAGTGGCAAGACAAAGCCATCAAAGGGCTTATGTAGATGGTAAAAGGGAAGTTCAGGAAGAACAAGGCTACATCAGCAAAAACTTTCCACCACAGCCACACCCATGAGCTCAACTCTCACCAAGAAGAGCAACTTCACCAAGCTGAGCCAACGGAAGAGGAAGAAGCTGTATGGAACCCCCATGGAAGACACTCATTCCATGCACAATCAAGTGACGAATGGGGTACATGGGCACAACCAAGGGCCTCATCCTCTGAGCCAAGAACCCATGTTCCATCAGCTTGGGAGGTGCCAAACCCCAACCCCTCTGAAGTTCAGGAGACATGGCAATGGGGCACACAAGGGACTTCTTAACAAGCTGAGCAACTATGGTCAAGCTGGGTTCAACCACCTCAAGAAGCAGAGCATTCCACTCAAGTTTATGAGAGAAGGAAGAGGAGAGCTAGCAAGTCTCCTCAAACCTCAGGATCATCCCACCACTCCTACAAATAAACCAAGTACCACATCCTTTCCATTATTTTATACTATTGCATCTTTTTATTTTTGTAATATATTTTGTTGCTTCTCTCTCCCATTGCTTTCATTGCACAAGGGACTGTGTAATTTAAGTGTGGGGGAGAGCTTTGGGGTTTAACTTTGTGTTTTGTTTTCTTAGTTTTTATTTTTCTTTTTACTTTGAGTCTCATGCATATCATGCATTCATGTAAGGCATAGAAAAACACAAAAAATCGAAAACTTTAAAAATTTTTGCATTTTTGCAAACCAAAAAGAAAGAATGTAGTTGCATTTCATTCTTCTAAGATTGAGTCTAGTGTTGACATATAGGTTGCATTGCATTTGCATAGGGCATTATGATGAATTTTCCTTGTAAAATGTTTAGTGTTTAGAGATGATTTCAGTTTTTAAGTGCTTAGCTGTTTGATGCATCATATGATTGCTAGAAGTTAAGGCTGAACCATGCTTAGATTGCTAGATTTGGTCTTCTCATCTCATTCTGAAAGCATTTGTTCTCTGAAAATCAACTCTATCAACTTGAAGTTTAATCTGGACTTTTAATTATCATGTCTTATGCATTGAAAAGTGAATTCATGGCTACCATATACATATTTGGATCATCTTTCTCCTTTCTACCACTCTTGTTGATCCAAATAGCTGATCCTCATAATTATGGGACAGTTACATCCTCACCCTTAACCAAAACCTCCTTTTAAGCCTAAACACTATTGTGAGAGCTGTGAGGCCTTTGCATTGCATTTTCGATTTTGTCTTGGCAAAAAGTGTTAGGAATAAGGCTGGCAATGATTAGCTCTCTTGTAGATATCAGCTTGCTCCTTGAGCTTGATTCTAGGATTGGAGTTTTGGGGTTTAAAAGGGTAGTATAGGTGGTTTGAACTTCATGTTTATATGTTTTAAAAGAAAAGGAAAAGATCTAAAATGGTAGAAAAGGGGAAACAGTCTAGAATTGTGGTTTAAGTAAAGGGAAGAAAAGCTCTAAGTACAAAGAAGAAAGGCGCCAACAACAAAGCTCAGAAAGGGTCCAAAGAAGAAAAATCAGACCAGGAGCAATCCACCAAAGGTGAAGAAGGTGCCAATACAACAAAGAAGAGCAAGTCCCAACCAAAAAGAAGCAACCACACAAGCAAAAAGAAGAAGTTTCCCCAGCCATGAAGAAGGGTAAAGGGTAGAGTTTAAGAAAGGGTAGACTTAGAGGGTTAACTCTTGGGTTTAGAAATGCTTAGGACTCATCTTTGGGAAATAAGGGTAGAAGAGAGCTTTGAATTGCATGCATAAGTGTGCTTTTACTTATAGCATTTTGCCTAAGATGAAGTCATTTCATTGAGTGATCCCTTATGTTTTTTAAAAACCCTGTGCTTAAATGAGATCATTCTTATCTCATAACCTTATCCCTTTTCAACCAAATGTCTTCACTTGATTTGCATAAGTATGATTCATCTTCTGATCTTAATTGAATGTTAAAGAGTTGATTGATTTGAGCATTTGCCTAAGTTGAGATTTGAGATCATTTTGAAACATGATGAGCATGGCTAGGTTCTTTAAAGTATAGCTGATCATGTTTGCATCCTACGATTAGGCACTTAAGCATTGAAACCATCTCTTTACCTTTGCATTTTTGGAATCTGAATGCCCACCTTCAAACCTCACTCTCCCATTTGTTCTTATTTGCTTGAGGACAAGAAAAAGGCAAGTGTGGGGGTGTTGATATCCCTTGTATTTACACCATTTAGGACTGTATTTAGTACATATTCTGGTCATCTTTTGCATGTTTTCCCTTAGCTTTTGTCCCTTTTTCTTCTCCTTTTAGACTTTGGTTGTATTTAGAGTATAATTTGCATTTTCTTTGCATTTTGGATGTTTTAGGTGCTTTTGGATCTAAAAGGAGCTTGGAGGAGTTTTGGGGATGATCCAGGATGCTAGCTGGGCAAAAGGGAGCAAGAAGGATCAAAGCAGACAATCTTTGCAGAAGTTTTCGGTCAGAGCACGGTGAACATCGGTCAAGGATGACCGATACAGAGCAGTATTGATCACCAGTATCGGTCAAGGGTGACCGACACAAACACAACAAGTTGATTTCGGTCATATGTGTCGATCACTCCAGACCGATGGGGATCCATATCGATCACTGAAGATAGATGTAACTGACCGATACTGACCCAGCCTGAACCTGTTTTAATTACGCTTTTGCCATTACTCTAGGGCTTCCTTCTCTAGGCTATAAATAGTCTCTTTTCCAGATTTTCGACATGTCTTGTCAATTTACTGTTCTTAAGCATTTTCTTTAAGTTTGTAAGACAAATCCTTTGCTTTGTTTAATATATTTGAGTATTTGCCTTTAATATTTCTTTATTCTCTCTTCTAATCATGATTAACATCCTTTTCCTTTGTGATTTGGTGTTAAACATAAGTATGAGTCAGTAGTTATCTTAGAGTTTCTAGATGTGGTAGATTAGGGGAATTTAAGACTTGATTAGGGCTTGTTAAGTGCTTCAGTTTATGGGTTCATCTCTATTAATATGTTATTTATGCTAGATTAGTCTTGATCAAACTTATCTAAGTTGTTAGCTTTCTCTAATGCCCACCAAGTGTTTGATGAAATGCTGATCTTGTTTAATAGAGGATTTGCTGGCCTTGGCTCAAGAGATTGACTGTTTGAGGAGCATTTTGACTTGAATAGAGTTGTTTACTATTGCTTGCTTGATGTTTTAGCACTAATGAGAGTTAGTTCTTGTTAAGATGATTAGCAAAGGGCTATTTGCCAAGAGATTGAATTTAGCTAGCTTAATTGTGAACTCTATGTCTAGGAATCACCATTGCTTGCTTACTTGCTTGATTAATGTAGTTTGAAACAGTCTTAGTTAGTGTCTGAAATTCCCCAATGTCAATAACCACATCTAGGAACTTGCCTTTCTCTTATTTGAATCTCGGATTTGCTCTGTTTTGCTCTGTTTTTCTTGCTTAAATCTGCTTAGTTTGCTTTTGTTTTCGCTTTCTTTGTTGATAGATCACACTAGGTTGTTAGAACAGTTGCCTAGGCAACAGAAGCCTTTTCCTGCTTGCTTGACTTAGAGATTTCACTCTTAGCTCTTCTGTTTTCAACTGTTCCCAATTGGATTGACATTAAAACTCATACTACAACTGACTAGTACAGTGGGTGATTGATAGCAAGTCACTTAAACACTTGTATCAGGTGACAATTTGTAAGTGACGTTAAGCTTGTGACATTGTGTCTAATCTGTTCGGTGAATTATCGTATTGTCTTTGTTAGATTGTTATCGTCTTTGTCTTTGTATGAGTATGTTTTATTGACATTGTGATTTTTATGTACGAGTGAATGTTGTTTGGTTGACATTGTTGTTTTGTTGACATTGTGATTGAGAGTTTAAACTGAAATATGCAACAAAATGACAAAAATCATTAAACTGAAACTGAAATGTAAACTGAACCACTAAACTGAAAAATAACATATTTTAAAACCAAAAGATATTGTCACTGTCGTTGCGGGTTCTGAAACATAAGTTCTGAAATAGAATAACAAATTACAAAGCTGGAATAAGCTTAAAATCACTCTTCGGGAGGTTGTGAGTTTGAAGTAAATCTATTATAAAAACGGTTTCCAAACACCTCGAAAACTCTGTCGGTGAATGGACTCGAAAGCGTTCGAACACCTTGTGGGATGTTACTTATTTTTCTGATCTTCAATGGCTTTCCTCGTGGAACCTTTTTTGCATGTTGCTTTGGTGGTTGACTTGATGATGGCAGAGGAGCACTTGAAATAATTTAGGCTGTGAACTTTATTTACCTCAGCTTGGGAGCTTGTTGCAGGAGCAGGTTGGGAGTTTGTTTGAGCTAAGCATTTTTTCCTTGGCTTTGGTGGAGGCTCCGGATTTGGATTAACCTAGTAAAACAGAATGTTAAGCTTGTAGAATAAAAAGAAATTCCAGATTATGGATAAGATTTCTGCAATAATTGCTCTTCTTGTTTCAAATCAGCCTAACAACCAGTTTAATCAAACCAGTCCTACAACTTGAATCATCAAACAAGTCCAGCAAGCAGAATTATTAAACATGCATACACGTACCTCAGCTGGATGCTTATAAGGTCTACCACGCTTGTTCTTTGGTCCCTCAACAACAACCGGTTCACTTTTTATCCTCTGTTAATGTGTCCAGCTTGACCACAACGGCTACAATGTGGTAGCCTGCCATGTCTTGTTGCTTTTCCTGCATTCTGTAATGATTCGAAAGGCTTCATGATTCTATCTCTGTTTTTTGGTCGACCTCGCGACTTTCGTAGATCAGGTATTCCCATTAGAGGCTTGTTAGTCTGAATCCACAGCCTCTCACCATTGATAGGTTTGATGTTGTCTTTATATGTGTTCTTCAAGACATGAGTGTAGTAATATTCGGCCACATATAGCATAGGGTCCTCTTGATTGTCATCTAAAACACATACAACATGTTTGCATTGTATCCCTATCATCAAAAACACAGTCAAGCTCAACTAAAACACAAGTTTTTACCATCTTCTAATCATAAAGCCAATTAGAGAGAATAAATAATGATTATCTGTAAGATCCTACTTCCTACATGCACACTGGTGTGTGGGCAAATTGATTGTATATCAACAATCAAGCTCAACCACTTCATACACATTTGAGGAGCTGCGGTCTGTCCAGCAATACTTCTTCACTTGTCTTGCTTTCTCCAACAACGCCATTGTGATTGGTGTCACGATTGTGTCACAAGTTTCTGCCTTTAGTGATCTTCTGGATATTCTTCTCATAGCCTGTCTTCTTACATCCTCCAACAAGTTTATCACTGGCTTTGATCTAGCAATCTTTGATTGTCCTATTAAAACTTTCAGACAGATTATTATGCACATCAGTACAATGCGATTCAAGGCTGAAGAATGCTTTGCACCACCTCTCTGGTTCTGTTGCCAACAAAGCTTGAAAGGCATCAACGTCATAGTCTTTCAGCAGTTAACTTATCTTCATACTCTCCTTGAGTGTAGCTGTAAGAAACTCCCCAGAATAAAGTTTTGAACTCTGATCTTGTGAAACTTTTCTTCCTCCAATTGGTGTATTTATGCCTTGCACACATCTGATGCTCAGCTTATGGAAGTTCAGCCTCAATGGCAATTTCTTAACCCTACAAAACAGAAATGATATTCAGCCCAACCATAAAAGCATCAAAAACCAGCTCATCAGAAATGATAGCAGATAAATTACCTGTTGCTTATCAGAAACAATGGTCATATCTTTTCCATTTCTCAAGAAAACATTTTCCTTTATCTTCCTAACAAACCAGCCCCATGTGTCTTACTTCTCACCACGAACCACTGCCCATGCAATTGGATACATTTTGTTATCTGCATCTCTGCCAACAGCTGAAAGTAAATCACTATCCAACTCCCACTTCAGAAAACATCCATCTAGACAAATAACTGGCCTACAACAATTCTTCCAAGTATTCCTCAGCTCGTCAAAGCAGATGTAAAAGCAGTCAAACATATCACCATCATTCACTTTTATAGTGTGTTCAGTGATAATGTATGGATGATATCTTACAATTTCAGCTTGATAATCCCATAGCTTAGCAAACTGAGTCGAATGTACTTCAAGGATGCTGTCCAGAGAAATACACCTTCCTCTATAGCATTTTGGCATTGATACAACAATGTTATATCATTCTTTGATGGCATCTTTAATCTCAGATGCTTGTAGGCTGATATTTCTTCTTAACTCCTCTCTAAACAATCCTGCAATCACTCCTTGTTTCAACATCGATGATATACACTATAATTACTCCATTATTTGCACACATTTAGTGTTAGTTTCAGCATTTAAACACCCTTTCTTGCATTTTCATGTCTGAAATGCATCCATTTAGTATTTAGAGTGTAGTTAGGAGTTGCATTGCGTATTTGGTGCATTTGGAGCACTTGGCAGGTGCAATGAAGGAGTTTAAGGACTGTGAGAAGTTCAGGGAGTGATTTGGTGGAGAGAACAAGGCAAGTAGGCCCCATATCGAGCAGTATATCGACTCACAAAGTTGATGCAGAGCATACAGAGCTACATATCGACATGCATACATCGATACACAAGCCATGACATGTATCGAGCAGAGTATCGATGAGGTTTTTCTCCATATGCCTTAACAAAAAGGTGATTGTATTGACCAGCATACCGAGGAGACTAGCCGATAAGCCTTAGCCAGAAGCGACTGTACCGATCAGTGTACCAACCAGACTTGGTCGATACAACCTTCAACCGACCAATAACGACCAGCGTATCAATGTGACATGCCGATACAAAGTGTCCGAACCAGCTATTTTCCGGTTTATTTCCAGTTTACTAAGGGGTTTTCCTGAAAACTATATATATGTTGAGACACAAAAACTTTAGGGGGGATCTTCTTTTCATCTTCATCCTTTAGATATTAGCTTTATCCTTTGTGTTTCCCCTTAAACCCTTGTAATTTCTGTCTTGAATCTTGTTCTTTCAATCAAATCTGGTGTTTATCTTCATTCTGATCATGATTAGTCATTCTCCTTTACCTTGGGTTTTGGCTAAAACCATGATTAGTAAGTAGTTTGTTTAGGGTTTGAGATTGGATAAAGATAGGGAAATTTGAAGCTCGATTAGTGATTGCTTAGTTCTTAATCTTATTGTTCCTTCTTATTGATTATGTTAATGCTATATTGGCCCTTGCTAAGTTGACCTAGATCCTAGGGTTCTCTTATGCCTGATAAGTGTTTGATGAATTGCCTGAATGAGTCAAGTAAGAGATTTTCTTATTTTAGCCTAAGGAATTAGCTATCTAAGGAGTAGATTGGCAATATAGAATTGGATTAGTTGATCATAATGCTTGTTAATTGATATACCTATATATTTAGCATATTTAGCATGCATTTAGATTAGTTTTCATGCATTCATCTTGCATTATAGGCTAGTTTCTACCTTTTGTTGCATTTTAGGTCCTAGATCACTTTGCAATCGCATTTTGCATATTTCTTGCATCTTTTGCATCATTATCAGGTTGTTTGGGACACTCTGGAGTTGTGGAGGTTGCGTGGACGTGCATAGAATCAAGAGGAGGCTTGTGGACACTTGGAGAACTCAGCCATGCATGCAAAGGACCCGAGATCGAGCAGCGGATCAAGCAAGGCAGTTCGATCTAGACGAGATCGAGCAGAAGATCGAGTGACTGAAGTCATTTCAGGGAGAAGGATCGAGACCAAGATGGAGAGAGGCGATCGATCGCGAGTACGGACGTAGATGACGCCATGCAGAACGAGAGCCAGTTCGAGATCACGACTCGATCACCCAAGGATCGAGTAGGAGATCAAAGGAAGTGCTCGATCCATCCAACCAAATCGACTTGAAGATCGAGCAGAAGAAGGCGATCCATAGAGAAGATCGAGTGTGCTGATCGATCTCTTGGACCTTATCTGGCCAGCTCATTTTTGGAGCGTAGTGAGGGGACCATTAGGGATGTTTGGCTATTTTGGGAAAGAGCCGGCTATCACTTTCATAACTTACACTTTGTCTTATCTTTTCCGTTCTTCCTCTTAGGCGATTCCGCCATTGCAAAACCTTTTAAGCTTTTCTTGTTTTTAAACTATGAATCTCGTTAATCATTAAGTCTTTTTCCATAATCGCTTGTTTAATCATGCTTAGTTTACCTTTCTTTGCATTTGAATCGGTTTCAATCATGAGTAGTGAGTAGTTTTCTTTTGGGTTTAAGGTTGGGGCGATTTAAGGGTTTAAAGGTTTAACCTTATGGGAGTTTTTCTTGTTCTTAACTTATTCTCTTCTAGGATTTGGGGTCTTAAAAGCTTAGAGAGTATTTGAACAGATCTCTATGATTCCAGGGCTTCTCTTACCTTGACCGGATTCAGAGATCCTTGAAAGCCAAATCCTAGAGACTAATCTATCCTCTCCCAAACGCCATGGTTGTAGAGTGGGTTAGTTAAGCCATTATTTGGGATCTTTTCTTAATGCTCTTTGACCCATATTTCCACTACAAGCCATAGGTTAGGAGGAAGGGTCAGAGAAAAGGGTCTTACCATATGCCATGGAAGATCATAATTTAAGTTTTCCAAGGCTTAGAGATAGCTCTTCAAAAGAGTAGATTTATGTTTTCAAACCCAATGCTTGAATCTTGAACCTCTTGAATATGAACCTCAACCTTAGATCCTCTATTTTTAGCATTTTAAAACCTCTGTTTATCATTCTCTAGTCATAAAGCTTGCTTCTTTGTTCATTTGAAGTCATTCATCTAAGTTGTTAGAAGTGTCCTGTTTTACCCGTTTCAGTGCTTGATTTTTAGTAATTAGTAGATTTGCATTTTAGAGTCTCTGTTTTCTTGTAGTACTTGTTAACCCTCTTCCAGTGTTGTTAAAATAGTTTTCGTAGTAGTTTGGTCGTTGCATTTAGTTTTAGTCGATTTTACCATATATTTACCTAATTCTGCTTAGATTTGCTTAGTACTTGCATTCCTAGTGTTCTTTCTTCACCCAGGCTGGATTGATACCTCTTGCATACTATAATACAACTATATGGTGCTTGAGCTTTGATATTCTTGCTTGAACAAAAAAACCATGTTTATCAAATGGCGCCGTTGCCAACTTGGGTTTGTTAGGAAGCATTAGGATTTGGTGTTTAGCAAACACTATGCCTTTTACTTTTGTTTTGATTACTCATTGCTCTACCTTACTGATTGTGTTTTCAGGTACATGAATTTGCGCTCCAGGGGTGTCAACAATCTACTTAAACCTCTGGACAATATTTACCAACTCGGACACGCACGATCAAGAAGAGCAAGAGAGCAAGCTCAAGCCTTTGAAGAGATTGTGCATGCTGGTACAGTAGACTTTGAAAGAATGGCTGAGCAAGAACATCCTGAGGGACCTTCACCAGCTCACGGTGCTGTAGGAAGGGGTAATGGAAATCCCAACCACGCAGTTAGACAACCACAGATCATTGGTGCTGGAGATGCTCCAAATACACTTCGTAACCGCTTTGGGATCACTCCTCCGCCAGTACAGAACAAAAATTTTGAGATAAAGCCTGGATTTGTCTCTATGGTTCAGAACAGCAAATTCCATGGACTGGCTATGGAAGACCCTTTGGAGCATCTTGACAATTTTGAGCAAGTTTGTGGAGTGATAAAGATCAATGGGATCTCAGAAGATGCTTTCAAGCTATGGCTCTTTCCATTTTCTCTTGGAGATAAGGCTAGGCACTGGGAGAAGACCCTTCCACAAGGCACCAGTACTTCTTGGGCTGAATGTAAGAAGGCGTTCCTCTCAAAGTTTTTCTCGAGCACAAGAACAGCTAGGCTGCAAAGTGAGATCAGCGGATTCACTCAAAGGCAGAACGTGACATTCAGTGAAGCTATGGAGCGGTTCAAGGACTATACCATTCAGTGTCCTCACCACAGCTTCAGTGAAGAGACTCTCTTGAGCACAATATACCGAGGAGCATTACCCAAGATCAGAATGTTGCTTGATACGGCAAGCAAGGGTAACTTTCTTGGTCAAGAAGTGGAAGAGGGTATGGAGCTTATAGAGAACTTGGCTTTGAGTGATGGGAATTACACTGAGGACTACGACCGTGCACCTAGAGGTTCTGAGCATGAGTCACAAAAAAGAGAGCTCATATCGCTCCATGAGAAGATAGACAAGCTAGTGCTTGCAAATCAGAAGCAAGT